TATATATATTGTTATATTTGGAAAATGATGTTTGCGCAAAGCATCGAATCTAATCAACGAATCTAGCTCGAATCTAGCTAGAATCTATTCGCTGAAATATTGCTCACTTTTGAATACATATGTGAAATAACGTCAAATACAACCATTCGTGCCTAATATATTTTAAAGAATGTGTCAACATATACACAGTTTCGTTCGCGATACAGATCGAAGTATATATAAGTGTTAGGTTAATTTCATATTTGATATACCGATAGCAGAGGTGATTAAAATTATTCCTGATAATAACCATACATTTGACGTGACAACGATCAATTTTAAGTTTTATAAAAGCAAAGTTATTCTGATAGAAAACAAACAGTGCAAACGAAATAAAGAATTTAATCGATGCAAAATGCAAGCAGAAGTAAACGATATACTGGAAAAGTCGTTGCAAAAAGCTAGGGAACATGACAGAACTGGAAATGTTGGAAGAGCTTATGCGTATTACACTATTGTTGCGGAGCTATGTCCTGCAAAGAGATCAGAAATTGAAGAAACATTCACAGATGTACTATGTAAGACGCAGTGTTTAACATTCTTCTTATATAATTATAATAATAATGATAAATATATAAATATATATTTAATTTTCAGGTGAATGGGGGATACAATTAGCGGAAGATAACAGATTTTCAGATGTTGTACGCTGTTATAAACATTCCTTGGATATTTATCCAAATAATCCTCGTATGCTGAATAATTTTGCAGCACACTTGTTACGGTAATTTCAATTTTATGGTGTATTAATGCTAATTGTTCTCTCTATTGTTTTTATAATAAATTGTTAAAATTACTTTTTTGACTAATCTCTAAAAAATACATTATATTATTAATATAATTAGTAACATTACATTGATTTAACATTGTTTATATATATTGTTAAAGAAATAACAATCCTATAAGGGCGACAGAATATTTAAAAAGAGCTTTGAAAGTTGATCCTAACTTTCTACCAGCAGAACGAAATTTACAAAATGCATATAGTATGGCAGTGGACAGGTGGCACTTTACGATGCTTAATGACAAGTGGAGAAATAATGCTTTTGAGAGAGCTATATGTAAGAGAATCAATCAAGGATATGATACAGTGTTGGATGTAGGAACTGGTACAGGTCTTTTGAGTTTATATGCAAAAACTGCAGGAGCTACAAAGGTGTATGCATGCGAATGTTCTGAAATAATGACATTAATTGCAAAAGAAGTATTCGAATCTAACAACGCAACCGATATAAAATTAATACCAAAACTATCATTTGATCTTAAAATACCTTTGGACATTTCAGAAAGGTTTGTGTATGCAACAATATATATCATATATCATTTTGATATTTTGTGTTGATTTAATTATTGTAGTAAATATGTGTGCATTGATTAATATTAAAAATATATAATTCTAGAGTAAAATTAATAGTGACTGAAACATTTGATGCTGGCTTATTTGGAGAGCTTGTAGTACCATCTATGATTAACGTACACATGAACATTTTAGATATGAATGGTATGGTAATACCTATGGGTGCCACCGTTTACACAGCAGCTATTGAGTGTGAACACATTAGATACAGATCATCGGTAGTTTTTGATAGAATAAAAGATAGTACTTTAAATTTTAACAAAGTTTCTATATTATCAGACGATGAATATTATGATACAGAAAATCTGGAAAAAGTTCAAATTAATTATGTCACAGAGCCACAAATTCTCTTTAATGTAAATTTTAACAATTTGTTACAATTGCAAGAATTCTACAAAGATGGAATAAAACAAATGTTACAAGTGAAATGTAGATATGATGGTATCATAGATGGTCTAGTTGCTTGGTTTAAGTTACATCTGGATGAGGAAATCACATTGGATTCCTCGGATGGAAAGTCTTGTTGGCAACTTGCTGTTTTTCCGGCAATACCTGTTGTATGCCACGAAGGCGATATCTTGACGATAAAAGCAGAAACATCGAAGAGTAAACTAAAATGTTCTTATAGCACAGGCAATGCGCAATCCAGCGAGGATTGTAAATTTTTATATCGTTTGGCAAAAGAAGTCATTGTCTTTTTAAATGACTTTAATTATGTCAAATTGCTCACAGAGGTTGCTAGATATCAAGAGAATAAAAAGATAAAATATATTTTGGATACTTCGCCTTTTCCAATTTACGGGTTAACGTTATTAAAAGAATGTAAAGATAGTGAAATTTTATATTACAAAACTGACAACGAAATTCTTCGTTTTCTGATTGAACAAATAGCCCGAGATAGCGGGCTTCGAGGAAAAGTGCATATGATATCAAATTATGATGAAATTCCATGCTCCTTAGACTCTGTATTTGTTCATAATTTTGACATTAAAGGCGAATTGAAAGACGATCAGGATAGTTGTTATGGAATTTTCAGGTACTATACTTATATTGTATATAAAATTTATACATAATTTTTTTATACATGCTTTTTATTTAATTATATTTATATTGTATATAAGTATTACTATACTTATATTGTGTATAACATTTATATATAATTTTTTAATACAGTTTTTTTTTATTTAATTGTATGTACTAAAGATCTATTATATCATTTATCTCCTTTGTTATAGGCACTTGCTTAAACCAAATGGTGTATTATTGCCAGAAAAAATTTTTCTTATGGGACAATTAGTGTACTCAGAAGATTTACCAAACATGGTTTATGTGCAAGATGTGAACCTTCAGAAATCATCCAATACTTCTATTTGTATTGATGATGATTTGAAAGTATGATAATATTTTAATATAATTTTAAATTATATGTTTGTGTATGTGTATAACATAACATGCGTTCAATACAAGAGAATATCAGAAAGAGAGAGATTATTAAAAACAAGATTACAGAATTTATTTGTAAAATTGCAATAAAATAAATATATTTTTCTTTTCAGAGTTCAGATAATGAAGACAATCCACATTCGCGGAATAATACAGCCAATAAAGTAAATAAAAGTACAAACTATATAGTCGCAGAACACATTAATAAATATAAGGTAAATCATTTAAAATTTTATTCTAGATTAAAACTTACTTACAAAGTTACTTAATTTTTATTAATTATGTTTATTCTATTGCAGATCAATCAAATATTTGATTTGAATTCGAGTTTATATTCATGTGAGATCATGTCTGAGGCACAAACACTGATAGAAATGAATGGAACGGAGACTACTGAGGCAGTCGTGAATTTTGGGCAAATGAATAGCACAAAAAGGAAAACTTTACCAAATGCCTTAATATGCTGGTACAAGGTTCAGCTCAGTTCACAACATATACATGATACAAAGAAGAATGACTCTTTTATGAATCATACCGCAATCGTTTTTGAAGATGAACTAAGAAACATTATTTTGAAAGATAAAGAAATAAAAATTAAAGTCCACCAGATGAAAGGTTTAGTAAAAATTACAGTATTAAATTTGTAAAAAATATACAAAAAAGAATAAACTATTTTATAATTTTGTACAATTTCTTACAAAATACGATTTTTATAAAATAATTTTTGTTTTTAATACATTTTAAACCATCTTTTTTACACTTTTTTTGCAAAATATATTAATATACGTGTATATTGTGATAAAACTTACAATATATATTCATATATTGTAATCTACATTAAAAGAAACTATTAAAATAATATAGCTGTATGATGTACTGTACAAAATAAAACTATTTTTGTCAAGTTGAAATAGAAAAAGAAATGTTTAAGAAGTATGTAAATACATGATTCCTCATAAGAATCCTTATAAGAAAGGCTGACCACTTTGTTAGGAAGAGTCATACATATTCATCATATATATCTCATGAACTGTCCTATAAATCTTCTTGACAATTCATAGTCAACAAAGCTTAAACACTATCAGATAATTAGATAAGTTTAACAAATTTGTTCCCTCAAACAATGATGAAGATGACTCTTTACTTTATAAAGAGCCAAGAGAGAAATCTTTAGAAGAATTTAACATTAAATATATATAAAAATGTAATGACACCTTTGGATATATATTATATATTAGATTATACATTGATCCATTTCAGGCTACTTTCATGTTTAGATTTTTAATATTCTAAACCAAAACTTTTAGAAAACATTATCGATTATCTTTTCCTGTTTCAGCCTATTAAAAATTAGCAGGCGTTTAAATGCATAATCAATGCATTAATGCTGCAATTTATAATTTACTAGAATTGCGACTAGTTAATATTTTACATACAAATGGCGCAACATTTTTAGGATCATTATTGTGACAATCATGATTTCCCTCTATATTAATTACTTTAAGTATGGTTTTAGAATTCAGTGTTTTCTCTATTGATGTAATCACATCTTCATATTTACTTATAAAGCCCTTTGATGGAACAAAGACATATATTGGAATTGAAAGCCTACAATTAAATTCGTGTGCTTGGTCCATACTTATAAACATAAAAGGATTTTTTTTTAATCTTATATCTCTGTTATATTTATATTTTCCATTTACTTCTGTAACTGCACGCTCAAACAATGCATCAGCTGCTTCTGTATTCAGAGCTGCAAACCTCAAAGTTTTAAAAGCATATAGTACTTCTTCTCTAGTATAAAATATTGGTTCTATATTATTACTTGCTTTTATTGAAAGTGCAGATGCATTCTCCAAATATGGTACAAATTTATTAAATTCATTATTACCTCTGATCAATCCATCAAAACTAATTATTTTCTTGATTCTATGAGGGTGGAAGACACTAAAAATTAAACCTATTTGTGCACCCAAGCTATGCCCTATGTAAATACATGTTTTCCATTGTAACGCTTCTAGGATGAAATGTATTGCATGCGCATAATCCATACAGTCTAGCATTACCCAAGATGGAAAGTGTGACGACCATCCGTGGCCGGGTAAATCTACACATACATAGTAAAAAAAACCTATTGGTAAATACTTCATTAATCTATTATACGATCCTGCATTATCTAGATGACCATGCACCAGTAAGACACGTTCTCCTGTGGAAGGGCCATATGTTCTGGCAGCAACATAACCCCAAGGTACGGTAAGTTTTATTTCCTTACATTCTATTTCTGCCATTTTTGCTGATTACTTTCACAATATATAACTTGTTGAACAATGTGCAGCAACTTCATTCACTGAAATTAGACATTTAAAAAAGATTATGTTACCACTGCTAATATATAATTTTTTTTTTCAGATATATAGAAATATTTCGTTATTTAAAATATAATATTCACATGTTAATTTTTGATGTATTTTTATTTTTGTTTTAATCAGTTATAAGAATTAAATTTAAATTATTGTATTATATATCAAGCAAAATATTAGCCAAATTTTCCAAAAGATAATTTTTTTTTATAAAACACTTTTTTTGTGACTTAGAATATCAATTTTAGATGATAAAATCACACACCACACAATGTAAGATTTGAATTTATGTAATACATATTTTCACAAGTAATATATGCAACATATGTATTATATGTGTTGTTGATAGATTAATATTTTTCTTAATAATCTGTATGATATTGCATAAAAATAGTGCGTTATATAAATATAATAATAGCATCCATTTTATTTTGTTTCAATATTGATTGACAATATATCAATTTTTTATTTTTGTAGTAAATATAATTTCAAAAAACATTACGAAGATTTTTATTTATGCTTAATATCTTAGAATACTTTGCCATACATGTCGTTTGAATTATATGTTAAAATTTTCTTATTTGTACAGGTATTTCTAGGAAATTATTTCCTTACTATATATAATTTTGTGTAAGAATATTTTTTTCAAAAAGTAATTTCTAAAAGACTAAAAAAATTTTAATTAGTAAGATAGAGGACAATCTTTCCAAAAATACAATATATATAAATAAAATTGGATCTGTTCCTCATTTTAAGTCACTCTTTCTTACATTTAAAAGATAACTAATATTCATTCTTCTGAATGAAGAAAATCAATAAACGAGAAAATATGATTGAAATAGAACATATATACCTTCTCTATATTTACAATCCAATTTGTATCTTATATCACAAAAGTATAAAAGAATTCTTCTATAAGGTATGAATTTCAATTGTCAAATACGACATACCTGAACTGTCGATTTCGACTGACATAAGATCTGTCCTTTATATATCTCCTTCCATGTGGAGAGAAAAAGACAAATTTTGAACTAATGCAGCCAGTTCAGCTATAAAAAATAGACTCTGTGCAGAAAAAATGTATGTCATATTTGCAATTCAAAATTCCCTCTCTTCGGTACATTTCATATTCATTAGCATTTACATTTAGTTTTTACATTTATCGATCATCTCCTACTTTAGCACTCCTATTTTGTTGTTCGAAAAAGTTATCTTTAAAAAACTGAAGGTCATACTGTAAATATATTGGTCAACGTGCATGATTATCAGTTTTTCTAATAGAAATTTTAAATGTTTCTTTTTTCTGATGTGAGGTGCAATTCTAATGCTAAGATCCATAAAAGAAAGAGAAAAGGAAGAAACAGGAAAGTCTAACAATGTTTTTAAAATAGTATTATTTGTTAACCTAATACTTGTTGGCCTTATGAACGAATGACTTCTGTAAATTAGTGATGTAAATTTATTCCATAGATAAAAAGCAAATATCATGAAATCAAGCCAAATACTGTAGATAATAATACGTCCAACTTCGATTAAAAACAGGCAATACAGCGCACTAGCGCTACCACGCGGCCTGAGTTGTTAGTATTTTTTTAGTAGAGGAGAACGCTTGTCTCGTAGTTAAGTGGTTCGTGATTATATTAATGAAAGCTGATCGTTTGCATCGTGTGGAATCTGGAAATGTTAACGAAAGTACATCAAATGTTAAAACAAAATTAATATCAAATTGTAATATTAAGGAAAATATGTGTATATGTAACGATTGTTATAAAATATTTTTAGACAAATATTTTAACGTTTTATTAAAAGCCTATGTTAATAAAATTAATGATAGTAAGAAGAAAAGGTTAATTATGACAAAAAATGTTAAATTAAAGAAAATATCTCACAATTATATACGTATTTTTATTTATCATTTACATTGTTACCCAGCCAGTAACACTCTATCAAGCAAGAGTTTATCACCTCAGATTAATAGATGGCGCTGTTTCAGTGGTTGCCTTGCAAGACAAAGGATTTTTCAAGAGTTGGACGTATTATTATCTACAGTATTTGATCAAGCAGACAAACAAATCATATTAGAATAGGTTTCAAATAGCGTTTTCGAATGAACGGGTTAATCCAACCCGGATCAATTAATCACTATATTTTACTATGAATTCAAGTCTTTTATTGGCAGAGACGATGCAATGACGTCATTAATCGCTCTCAAAGCATTTAAACCTGCTACATTCGGCTGTGTTCCGATTTCCCACCCGAGTGCACCTGATATTATAGTATATGTCACGTATACTATAATATCGGGTGCACTCTGGTGGGGAATCGGAACACAGCATTCGAAAACGCTAAAAACTTATCCTAGTATAATTTTCTCTCCGAGAAAAATTTTACTTGATGATCGGTCTGGAACCAATCAGAAACGCTCAAAAATTGATTAAATTGCAATTATATAGTAATATTTCAATTTTGTCCCTCTCTCTTATACGCGCGTATAAATTATTAATAATTTGTAAACAAATAAAAAAGATCAATCATTGATCGTTTCGCGAGCACCACGCAGGCACGAATGAGAAAGAGAAGCAATGAGCGCGTTCAACAGAGAAAACCGCTCAGTAGCAACCGAACGTGATTGGCTCTTTCTTTTAGAACCAACAAATCAACGTCGAGTGTTAACAAGACGATAATTGAGCGCTTTCTCTGCTGAACGCGACTAATGCCAATATTTTCTCTCCTTTTTTATCTGATCTCGCTATCAAAGCATATGGCGGTATGGAAGCTGGATGACTCAGCTCTATGCGATCTAGTCTTATTCTATATCTATGGTTAAATGTGTAGTTGTCAAATTCACTTCCGTTGCGGCCTTCATCGGGTTCGGACGTGTTTTGGCGCGTTGCGTTTGTCCTTTGTTTGGACCTTATTTTTTGGACTTCCTCCTCTTCCAGAGGACTTTTGCTTTTATTTTTCAAACCCATAAGAAACAATGGTGTATGGGCGACTAATGCCCAACCAGCCATAAAGAAAGAAGAAGAAGTTGTCAAATTCAATTGCTTTGTATTATTATCGTTTTATCAGATAACGAATAATCACATAATATAAAGTGCATATAAGCAAATAAAAGCGAAATTTTCGAAAGTTAACTTCATTCACATAGGATATTCCAGGATCATGAAGATTTTCTTTAACAAATAGATTTTAAAATATTTATTTTTAGGGAGTATTAAGTCAAACACATCAGAATTATTTAATATTTTAGAATTACAGAATTAAATTATATAAATATATGTAACAGAATTTTATATTTCAGTTGAGTTTTATCTTAACATTTACATTTCAGTCAATTCTGCCCTATTTCATTTCACCTAAACTAATTAATTGTATTGAACTCACAGTTAATACAAATTTGCAGATCAAATTCATAGCTATATTGGGTTGTAGTTAAAATGAAAATAATAGCAGAGATATTCTGTATGTGTATGCATGTGTATAATTGAATATTTATTAAGAAAAAGCTAGAAATATATATGGTTAATAAAAATCAATATGTAAATACTAATTATAAAAACATTATCATGAATGCAAGTGAAAAAATCTCTATGGGATTTGTACAATATTAATACAATATTGGATTTGTATGATTTTTAATGAGAATAATGTTTATCCAATTACAACACATCCCATTTTTAAATCTATTTCAACATTTTTACATATAAAATCTGCAATTAAAAATAAATGTAACTATATATAGATCCCCTTAATTCTGAAATAGCTTTTGTATGTGTATGTTGTATGTGTATATCTCTTTCTATAAATTAGAATTCTTTTCTTGCATTGTTTATTACACATTTGTCATATGAGTTTATCAATGTGTTTAAAGTGGGAAAACAAATGAAAAATTGCATGACATTTTTATACTGCACATATATCATTAGAATAAAAGATCCCAGAATAGAGCAATAGCTCAGTCTCGTAAGATTTAAGATAGAGGGGAATCTACACTGTGGAACAAGACTTCATCCTTATCGGTACATATTATATCAGATATCAGAGTATATAATCCGAGTTACTTAATACTGAACACTATTTTAAGAGATACAAGTGGAACCATAATATCTAAACGCTTTAGCCGACGGGAATTTTTTCTTTATCTACGACGAATATCGTCTATGTCGACTAGTCGCATTTTTGCCTCTATTAGAACTGGTGCTCGCGCCATTGTGAGTGGCTGGTGTGTGGCTGTTAGATATGGCATTTGTGACAACTTTGTCGTTTTCATCGACACTCCTGTTGCTCCTTGTGGCTGTATCAGCACAGCTTTTTGTAAATTCAAATTTCGTATTCGACGATATCGTTGTGTCACGTATGCACTTTCTTATCTCATGCCCAATGGCAGCTCCCAATGGTGGAGGTACCGCGTTACCAACCTGTCGATGCTTATCGAGTATCGTACCATAGAAACGAAATGAATCTGGAAATCCTTGGGATCTCGCGCACTCTCTAACGCTCACAACTCGATTTTGCGCTGGATGCAAAACGCGACCCTGGAAATCAATATTATAATATTTGAGAGATCCACCTGACTTTGTTGAATTAAAATTATAATGGAGAAATTACGCAAAATGCAGAAGTGTGTGTTGTCAATTTGTGTACATTTTAATAAGCTTATAGAAATCGTGCAGTAATGTTAATTGCCTCAAATTACTATTTTAAAATATATTGCGCAAAATCGCGTTATATAATAGTATATTTTTTTTATTGATAGTGTTATAATTTTTTTTATTATTGTATATATTCTGATTAAATTATATATCATTTTCATTTATTTGTATTATTTTCATCGGCCTACCTGTTTACCCATCGGTTCTGGATTGGTGATAGTTGTACTGAAAAATCCATCCCATTCAAGTCTTCCATATAAACCCGACCAATGATTATGTCGGTTCCCGGTATGCGGCAAACACCATGGAATTAAAGTATTAAATTGTCTATCGGTAGGATCACATACTCGACCACTACTGCAACTGCATACTCCGCGCAATGCACCTGTTGAACTTTTTCCAGCTCTCTTATCATGATGCATGTATTCCCTAGAAAAAAAAAGATTAAAATATTAATTTAAATATAATAATATAATTATACGCTGTAATTAATTGACCAAATTTTAATTATGATGAATTTTTACTATGATTAAAGAAATTCACCAACATAATTTATATCATAAATTTAGAATTTAGCAAAAAAAAAAAGATATGATAGACTTTATACATACAATTTCTTGGAGAAGGTACCATCGCTCAATCGCACTGCGATATTTGGTAAATCACGCCAATCAGAACCAGTTGCAGTTGGAATATGAGACATTCGTGCCTCCACAAGCGAAGTCATTTCTTTACATATATGATCTCGCAATATCGGCTGGTATTGCTTACCTCTCATCTGAAATGAATGAAATCAAGTGAATTCTAACAATCGTTTTCAAAAATGTATCAAAATGCTTTTTCTTAAGATAGTTACCTTTCTCTGGAAATGTGATAACGGTTCACTACCATAAGACATCTCCTCTTTGCTCCAACCGTTTTTAATATCCGGTAAATCACACATAGCATCCTTTACAGTGATCGTTCTAAACGGGGCGGAGTCCGTCCAAACACAATTAGAGAGATACTAAAAAACACATATCATCATTTCATTATCAGAAGAAAATATTATATAATACAAAAATAATTTCGATATATATTTATCATACATCTGTTGCAATGTGCAATTATTTATATATTTTGGCTTGATTGCACTAATTTATTATGTGTGTGTGTGAACTAATTACAGAAACGATATCATATAGCAAAATAA